GGTAGCAGGTCCTGCAATATGTATTGCAAATATTCAAGAGGGGTGTACTCGGTGAACTTAAATTCATGTGATGGTATATTGTCTGTAAAGTGGACATTTCCAACATGTCATTTGATGTTCATTTGGTTTTTGGTGTTTTGGTATGAAACAATATGCCAAGTAAGCTTATTTTATAAGATTAATGCACGCTCTCATACGTCCTTGCTATCAGATGACCCATCTCAGGGAAGCCTGTCCATTTTTCCTCTGGTGCAAATCCACTGACGCAAGGTACTAGCGTGCCATAAATTTGTTCAACTTTTTCATTAGTCCCGAGCACACATTTGTATAAATCTATATTGCTCATTAACTCTCTGATAAGAGTATCTTAGACAATATGGTGATGCTCTTCTCCGTTATCGACCCAACCCAAAACAGCTCCAAAACCACAGTTATCTTCACCCCTGACATTGACGATCGGTTCAATGTACTTGTTCATAAAAATTATCATCTCCTAGATAAATGGTACTTTTGGTGGAGTCGATGTAGGATATGGTTTTCTAATACGGACTCCTTTGAAAACACTTTTATGACATTTTAGAGTAGGTGAATTGGAAAAAACTTTGTCAACATGTTCAAAATAGGAAGGACTCCTCGTTGTTGAATTGTCGCCCGGTGTTGGTTTCAACTTCTTAGGTGCCCCTTTATTTTTTTACTGGGTTAGAGGATGGTTTAAGTCTGTGGCCTTCTAGAATGTAATCTTCCTCGATTTCTCTTTGATGTGGAGTTTGGTGGCGTCATTGACTTTCAAAAATATTTCTTGTATCACTTCCAATTCAGTCAATATGGAGATACATGATTTATCGTCTTTCATTTTACTGTCACCTTCAAAATTGAGTCTCTTCCAATGATTAGAGACCTTTTCCATACGTATCGGGCAATTAAATTTCATCTTCTTAGATATGACACTAGCACAGGGGAGTCTGTATGTTTTCACAATTGTGCAACTAAACTTTGAGTTGTCGGAACATACATTAGAAAATTGTTTGGCTTCGTGAAAAATATAATTCAGAGTTGATCGAGAGATGTTACCGAACAACTGAGAATATAAGGTGTTGTCTTTGTTTCTTATTATGCTGGTTTAGTATAATATAGTTCACAGAATCCCATTTTGTAATCAAATCACCCTTGTTATTTCCTAGTCAATTTTTTAGACATGCATGAGCATACTCAACTCGATTTGTTGTTGTATTTTCGAGGTGCATAACCTGATTGACCCAGGCACAAACAATCTTCTCCTTTACCTTATCCAATATTATGCTTTCAATATATTTCAATAGATCGAGATAGCTCATGCAAACCTTCTTGAAATGTAAAATAGCATCAGCGTATAAGTCTTTTGTAGATGCATTTATTATAACATTCCATATATTCATTACTTTCTCCTTAATAACACTCGCCTTGACCAGTTTTCCTTTTTCACCTACAAATTGTTTTGTCTTTACTGTGGGTTTAACCCGACTTCTTATATTTTTAGTAATGTGGTACCTACAAAGTAGTGCATAAGAAGTGGGAAATATCGTTGCAACCGAATTCATTAAAGTTGTATCTCGGTCGGTAACAATGACTTTCAGCATATCTTCTTGGTCCTTCAACATTAACCGACAAACCTCCCATGCAAAATTGTCCTCTTTTTCGCACTCTAGAAATGCAAAACCAACTGAATACGTCTTCTCAGTCGACGTAACACCAAAAATTTCCAACAATGGAAGTTTGTACTTGTTGATCTTATATGTTGAATCAATTATGAGCATGGTGGGAAACATATTGAACAATTTAATAGAATCAGAATGAGTCTAATAAATATCTCTTACTGTTTCCCCATTTTCACATCTTCGGTGCCTACAAATTTAATTGTTTTCATCTAGAAGTTTCAAGAATTGTTGCATTTCGGTTCGATCCCCCATAAGTGCTAATTTGGATAAATAGCCCTATTGTACATTTACTTGATATTCGATGTATTCTCGGGTCTTTGCGCTTCAAGGTTACAAGTATGTTTTTGGACGGTACCAAATTAAATGTCATGTCGAAAACATATGTCTTCTCATCTGGAAGGAGTCGACATGCAATTGGATGACCGACTAACCTTAGACTTAAATCATGATTGTGTAAACCACGTATCACATTAAATCTCTATTTCTTATTTGCCAACAGATAACCATGCAACTTAAATGTACATTCACATTTCCTTGAACCGGTGTCATCGCGTTACAATTTCTAGGTCCGACGCATATATTTCCCACTTCTTTTGCATGTCAAAGTCATAAATTCACATCTATTTGTACCATTATCGGACCTTCCGATCACAACATTAAACCCTAGTTTGGTGGCCTCTGTACGAATCCACTGCAGCATGTCTTCACGTAATTCAAACTCTTCTTCAATTTCAAAATTGTCACGGATATCTACCGACTTAGATACTGGAGGAGATACGTGAGGTGAAATAACTTGAGACACATTACATTTAGGAATATTATCGGAATGCACCATATTTAATGTGATAAAAAAACATTAAACTAATTAACATACAATTTCTGGAAAAAAATAACCACAAACAGAAACCAGAATTACATTTCCGATAAGTTCAACTACTATTCAAAATTATATTTTCGGTATAAGCATAACCTTTTTCAAGATGAAAAGCAGATTAATGTGAAAAATGGAGATTGAAATGAATAAGCTTTACCTTAAATTCTACTTCCCTGAACTCTTTTTGATACGATGAACCACAAGAATGAAGATTTATAGTGAAAAAATAGATTGAAAATAGAAGGTTTTTTAGAGGGTTTATGGAAAGATGAAAAAATGATTTTGATCATCCTTATCCATGCTGATTAATATTTTAAGTAATATGCACTTTTCATAATACCGGAAGTATATTTCCGATAATATATAAAATGATAAGGTGACTGAAAATTCAATCTTCCCGCTATACAAATTGAAAATATAATACCAGTTACAATCGAAATTATAATTTCGATTCTGTTTTTTCCTTTTGAATAAAGGGGAATCACATTTGGTCTGTTTGTATATGGTGCGTGGTGTTTACTGAAAATATATTTGAGTTTTAAGGAGTATTTTGGAAATTACATAGAATTTTTATTTTTACTTTAGAATGGAAAAAGAAATTCTTTTGAACTAAGGACCTGTTTGAATCAATTTTGCTTTTCACTTTTTAAAATATGTTTTATAAAACTGTTTTAAAAAAGTGTTTTTAAGAAAACTATTAAAATACTTGTTTGGTAATATAACTTTTCAAACTGTTTTTAAAATGAGAAAATAAAAAAATTCATTTGGTCAATTATTTTTAAAAACAGATTTAGAGATGAAAAATTAAAAAATCTATTTGGTAATCAAATTTTCAAAAATTAGTTTTTAATTAATATAAAAATGAAATACTTTTATTAATTAATAATTAAAATTTTAATGGCTTATATTTAAATATACAAATCTACAATTTTATTCCTAAATAAAATCGAGATAGAAACTTTTTATGTTTAAATATATAATTTAATTATTTTTTAGATTCGAGTTAATAGTTTATTCACACAAAAGATTTCGTCATCAAAGTACCACAGTGTATATCAACATCTCAAATATTCATATCAAATCAAACCAATATAAGAATTCAGAAAATAACCACTAAAATTCCAAATTGTTTGTATGAAAATCTAAAAGAAAGATAATTAGTTCACTTAATTGGTGTATCCACATCTCATCTCTAATATGATTTCTCTCCATTATCATTTCAGTTGCACTTTCATTAGATAACCTTGTTAAGTTGTCGACATTGGAACTTGTTCCTTCTATGATAGGACCTTCATGCATCTCCTCAAATTCGATAGGATCCATTTCTTCTCATATCTTAAACAATTCGTCAGATAAATTCCACTTGCGTATGTAATTAAAAAAAGCACAACACGTAATAACTATAAATCGTTGTCTAAAAGGTTTATAAGGAGGCATCAACTTTAAAATAAGAAATCTATTTTTCATAGCTCTTCCGGACTTATGGGTTTTCTACTTTGACCTCTATATTCTTGTGCATGATACGTTTCACCCCTATAAGAGGGAAGAAAACCTCCAATATATGGATACCCAGAATCAACGAGATAAAAGAAACCTACATCAAATAAAATATATGTTAGCTCAACTTTGTTAATTTCATCGAACATGATTTTATGTTTATATTATGACTTACCACTTGGTGGCCAAGGAAATCCAGCATTTTGATTTGTAATGACATCCAAAAGAATCTTTGAATCATGTGCACTTCCTTCCCATCCCGAATATACATATCTAAACATCATGTTAAAATCACAAGCCCACCTGACATTTTGTGTGATTGTTGTCTTTTCTATCTCTACATAAAATTTGTTTAAAATTTGTTTTTCCGCGGGAACCGATACACTTATATGTGTACCATCAATTGCGCCTATGCAGTTCTTTAAGATATAATCCAAATAATATGTATAAGTAAACCATAACCAAATTATGTTGAAATAAAGATACAACTATAATAGAAATAATAAGAATTTTGTTCATACCTTAAACCAAGGATACTACTTTGAATTATTTTTAATTCTCTCAGGCAACTCTTTGGATTCTTGCTTTATTAGTTCCTTTCCGAATCGACACACCACCATTAATACCTCCTTGAAATTGCGTAAGATTGTTTCAGTGGAATGTTGAAAGTGGTTTGAAGCAACTTTATGATGAACATTATGACCAATTATGAATAAAAATGTAACAACCTTATCTTCAAGAAGCACATCTCTTGAGTCACCTAAGTAGTTCTTCTCCCTCATTACAGAAACTCACAAAACATTATTTCTTCATTCGAAATAAATCAAAACAACTTGTTCCAGATCCATTTAATACTTCAGCAACAAACTCACGACCAGTCAATGAAGATGTCAAAACCATTGTTTTGTTAAAGTATTTCTGGTGACATTCATAAATCATACTATGAAAGAGAAATTCTGCAAATTCGTCATCACTTTCATCAGAAGTAGAATCATCACTTTTATCAATATCAATTCTAGTTAGAATTTGCCATACAATTTAATAACAAAACTTTAAGAATGAGATATTCAATAAAAAGGAAATAAAAGGTTTATAATAACATAACTATAAAATTCAGAACAGTGCCTAAAAACACAAACAATTGTCAGCAAATAGAGCAAAGTACACAATCATAAAAACCATAAACAAAATACTAAGATAAGTATGTCTCATCACTATCACCATAAATTCAAGGAAGATTTTAAGTCTAAGTACCCATCCACGTTTCCTCTCAAGAGACATGACGATGAACACTTCTCTCCAATCAAGATTCATAAACTTTTCCAAAGCTTTTCCATATACATCATGTGCAATGTCTTCCATCTCATTCAGCGCCGCCACACACTTAGTAAGAGAACAGTCTGATGTTACACGTGAAGTAGCCTCCACACTCCTATCCCTGTAACTCTCAGCTTTTGCCAAAGATGCTTTAGCCCATGCTGAAAGTGTCTCACCCATCATATGTGATGTAGACTCTTTCTTGGATCGTACTTGAATTTGTTTCTTTCCACTACGAGTGACATGCTCCACTTCATGTAGATCATCATCTGAACTATCATTTTCACGTACATGATTCGCACTCCTATTGTTAAGGTATTGATTGTCAAGCTCATTTTCTTCATCTGTATTTGGTGGGTCTTGGGTAGATGAGTGATGAAGTACTCCAGTTACATTATTTTTGTTGAATATGATTTCCAACAACTTATAATGATCACACCCTTTCTTTTGAAACTGAGAAGCTTTATCATGTACCTAAAATAATATAAGCATATTATTAAAACCAACAAATAAAAATTCCAGAACATGCATGAGAATAGTCAAAAACCACTGGATTTAATAGAATGCCAGAACAAGCAAATGTCAAATCAAATATTTTAGTAACAAACAGTAAAATACAAGGGTTTAAATATACAACACCCCTGTATAAAATCAAATTAACTAACTATATTTTATAATATATAGATTTAAATTAAAATTGATAATATGAATCATAAAGTAGAAACCTACATCAAGTATGTTAGATATCGGAATATTCCATATCATGTAAATAGAATATTCTGTAAGTAATTAGGATATCATGTAAATAGGAAATAAAATATTATGAAATTATTATAGAATATTATGTAATTACTATGGCATTTATGCCTCCTATTATATATAATGAGCTCCGATGTGTAATTCAAACACACGGATTCAATCCAATCTTCCTCTTGTTCTCTCATTATTCAACATGGTATCTAGAGCCTAACAAGAGGCAACCCTAATCCGTGCTTTCCCGGTAGATCCACTATCTATCGGCGCCATTTTTTTTTCTTCGGTAACCGTGCTTCATCTCCGGTTTCCGATATTCCTTCTCAGATCTTCCTTTTTTTTTTTTGGTCACTTCTCTCACCATTTTTGGAATCCATGGCCGCCGTTCCCCCTCCAAGGGTTGAGGCCCCTATTTTCACAAGTTATATCACTACTCCTCTTGCCGTTGACAAATTGGACGGTACTAACTATGATTCTTGGGCTTCCGACGTCAAGTTATGGCTCCGGGGACAGGCCTATGAAGATCACCTCACTACGAAGGCTGACTCGGTGGCTGCCACTGATAGTGCTCGTTGGAAGAAAATTGATGTTCAACTCTGCAGTCTCATTAAGTCGACTATTAGTCCATCCTTGAAACAGATCTTTCGTTCTCATGAGACTTGCGAATCTGTTTGGGCACAGGCTAAGATCCTTTATACCAATGATACACAACGCTTATATGGAGTGTGTCAAAATTTGCAGAATATTATTTCCCCTCGTCACCTGGATGGTTCTATGGCTGAATACTTGGGTCGTGTTCAAGGTCTTCTTCATGATTTCAATGAATTATTGCCCCCAGCTGCTACCACTGCTAAGGAACTTGAACAACGTCGATCCTTCTTCATGCTTCTAGCTCTGTATGGCCTACCTCCAGAGTATTCGTCTGTTCGCGATCAGATATTGGGGTCTCCTACAATCCCCACTCTGGATACTGCATGGTCTACTTTGCTACGTGTCCCAGCAAAACCATCATCTGACGGAGGAGTCCCACCCACACCAGTTGATTCATCTGCTTTGGTTTTTCAAGGAGGTAATCGTGCTCCGGGTGGTGATCGTGGCCACTTTCAGAAGACTGGAAAGCCTCGTCCTAAGTGTGATCATTGTCATAAGCTTGGCCACACTATCGATCGGTGTTATGCTTTACATGGACGTCCCTCTCCTCGGACTGCCCACGTTGCCCAGACCGCTCCACCTCCACAGGCTGCTACTCCGACTGATTCTGCCACCTCACCTGCTATCTTTAACGACTTTATCAAGTGGTATGAGGAGCGTCAGGCCGCTAGTTCCACTGCATCTGTTGCGCACACGGGTAATTCTTTTGCTGGTCTTTCTCACTCCACATCTCTTGGCCCATGGATCCTTGATTCAGGCGCCACTGATCACATTACTGGTAATAAATCTCTTTTTTCTTCATTCTCTACTTCTGCTTTATTACCCTTTGTCACATTAGCAAATGGCTCCCAAACTCAATCTCAGGGTACTGGTACTATCCACCTTTTTCCCTCGCTCTCCATTACTAATGTTCTTTATGTACCCGGATCTCCGTTTAACTTATTGTCTCTAAGTCGTTTGACTCGATCTCTTGATTGTACTATCTCATTCACCAAAGATTCTTTTTTCTTGCAGGACCGGAGTTCGAGACGGATGATTGGCACCGGATGTGAGTCTAATGGTCTTTATCTTCTTCAACCATCTGCACATGTTGGTTCCGTGGTGGATTCTCCCCTCCTGGTTCATGCTCAGTTAGGACATCCAAGTCTTGCAAAGTTACAAAAGTTGGTGCTCAACCTTTCCAAGTTATCTACGTTATCTTGCGAGTCTTGTCAATTAGGAAAACATGTTCGTAGTTCTTTTCCGAGTCGTGTCAATCGTCGTTCTAAGTCTCCGTTTGCTCTAGTTCATTCGGATGTTTGGGGTCCTAGTCGCATTGTTTCCACTTTAGGGTCTAAGTATTTTGTTACCTTCATTGATGATTATTCTCGATGTACCTGGTTATTTTTAATGGAAAATCGATCGGAGTTATTTGCTATTTTTCAAACATTTTATAATGAAATCAAAAATCAGTTTGGTATATCCATTAGTACTTTGCACAGTGACAATGCTCGAGAATATTTATCTACTCAATTTCAAACTTTTATGGCTACTAACGGTATGCTTCATCAAACGTCTTGTGCTCACACACCACAACAAAACGGAGTCGCTGAACGTAAAAATAGACACCTAGTTGAAACCACTAGGACACTCTTACTTCACAATAATGTTCCTCAACATTTTTGGGGTGATGCTGTCCTTACGGCTTGTTATCTCATAAATAGGATGTCATCATCTGTCCTCAACAACCAGATCCCTCACTCTATTCTATTTCCTCACCAGTCTCTTCACCCATTACAGCCTAGAGTCTTTGGGTCTACATGTTTTGTCCATAATGTTAGTCCCGGGCTAGACAAACTCTCAGCTCGTTCTCATAAGTGTGTGTTCTTAGGCTATACAAGATCTCAAAAGGGATATAAGTGTTACTCCTCGTCTCTTCGTCGATATTTCGTCTCTGCTGATGTCACATTCTTTGAGTCAGTCCCTTACTTTGGGACGTCTACAGGGTCTGAGTCCCTATCACCCATGTTTTCTTCATCTCCCACTACTGCCCCACCAAACGTAGTTCTGTCTCCTTTACCAGCCAATCCACCCCCATTAGCTCCTTTGCAGGTTTATCGGCGTCGACCACGGCCACCTCCACTACCATCAACTAATGCAGAAATCACCATAGACTCCCCTCCGGATCCAACTCCTTCGTCCCCTCCGGTCCTGCCCCCTGAGACTGATCTCCCAATTGCACTTCGCAAAGGTATACGTTCCACTCGTAATCCATCTCCTCATTATGTTAATTTGTCTTATCATCGCTTGTCTTCTTTGCATTATGCTTGTATTTCCTCTTTGTCTTCTGTGTCTATTCCCAAGACTGTAGGTGATGCTTTATCTCACCCTGGCTGGAAACAAGCTATGCTTGATGAGATGTGTGCTCTTCAGAACAGTGGCACGTGGGACCTTGTTCCTCTTCCTCTTGGAAAATCTGTTGTAGGTTGCAGGTGGGTTTTCACAGTCAAAGTTGGTCCTGATGGACAAGTTGATCGTCTCAAGGCACGTTTAGTGGCCAAAGGTTATACACAGTTGTTTGGCCTAGATTATGGTGACACCTTCTCTCCCGTGGCTAAAATGGCCTCGGTTCGATTATTTCTCTCTATGGCAGCTATTCGCCACTGGCCCCTTTACCAGCTTGACATCAAGAACGCATTCCTCCATGGTGATTTGTGTGAGGAAGTTTATATGGAGCAACCTCCTGGGTTTGTTGCTCAGGGGGAGTCTTCTGGACTAGTTTGTCGTCTTCATAAGTCTTTGTATGGACTTAAGCAATCTCCTAGGGCTTGGTTTGAGAGATTTAGCACTGTTATTCAAGAGTTTGGTATGACGCGATGTGAAGCTGATCATTCAGTGTTTTATCGTCACTCAGTTGTTGGGTGTATTTACTTAATTGTGTATGTGGACGACATTGTCATTACAGGTAATGATCATCATGGAATCACACAGGTAAAACAACACCTTTGTCATCATTTCCAGACAAAAGACCTCGGCAGACTTCGTTATTTCTTGGGCATAGAGATTGCCCAATCCAAACAGGGAATTGTGATTTCACAAAGGAAGTATGCTATGGATATTTTGGAGGAGACATGTCTGTTAAATTCCAAGCCAGTTGACACTCCGATGGATCCCAATGCTAAACTTATGCCAGCTCAGGGGGAGCCACTCTCCGATCCTGGAAAATATAGAAGATTAGTTGGAAAACTGAATTACCTCACTGTTACTCGCCCAGATATTTCATTTCCTGTTAGTGTGGTAAGTCAATTTCTTAACTCTCCTTGTGAAGGGCATTGGGAAGCTGTGATTCGCATCTTGAAATATATTAAAGGAGCTCCAGGAAAAGGCTTACTCTATGAAGACAAGGGACACACTCGAGTTGTAGGATACTCAGATGCAGATTGGGCAGGTTCTCCTTTTGATAGGAGATCCACCTCAGGTTATTGTGTTTTCTTGGGTGGTAACTTAATTTCCTGGAAGAGTAAGAAACAAAGTGTAGTGGCAAGGTCAAGTGCGGAAGCAGAATATCGAGACATGGCAACAACAACCTGTGAGCTTGTATGGCTTAAACAATTGCTTCACGACCTGAGATTCGGGGATGTTTCACAAATGACACTTATTTGTGACAATCAGGCAGCTCTGCATATTGCATCAAATCCAGTGTTCCATGAGAGAACCAAACACATTGAGATTGATTGTCATTTCATCAGAGAGAAGATTTTATCTAGAGATGTCAGCACTAGTTTTGTCAATTCAAATGA